TTTTTTTTTTTTTTTTTTTTTTTTTTTTTTTTTTTTTTTTTTTTTTTTTTTTTTTTTTTTTTTTTTTTTTTTTTTTTTTTTTTTTTTTTTTTTTTAAATTATTTATTCATTTATTTAATTATCCTTTAGACCTCATTCTTTTGGATTGGACTCTTTTTTGTGTAGTTTTTCTTGGGTCTGAGTGCTTCTTTTTGTGTTATTTGTATTCTTTCAATTTATCTCAATGACAGTAGGTTTTTTTATTTAAAAAAAAAATGTAGGGTGCTTCATGAGAGATTATTTCTATGGGAAGGAACCAAAAAGTGTTAGATATTTTCATTTTATTTTTATTTCATTTTATATCTGTTGAAATTAAATTAATATTTTTTATAGAGCAGCAGAGTCTAGTTTTAAGATGATGATAATTTCAAGTCTACATGTTCAAATTGCGGCTAATCGGGCATCTGATTTTTACTTGCTTATATTAAAAGGAAACTACTTTTCCATAAATACTGGAAAGTTGCAACCGAAATTGTAGGAAACAACTCCTTTTAGGAGATTACAAGGAGCCCCTGAAGCAAACTTATTCATTCATATTCTAATCTTGCTGTTTTGAACCTTATGTGAATTGTCAATATTTTGCTTTAGTTAACAAAATTGGATGGTTTGAAAGCAATTGGGGCTAGAAAACTCAGAACCTATGTCGAGAAGTCCATAGAAGCTGCTTACAAAGAGGTTAGTCGAGATTTGTGACACAGTATCATAAGAATATGGTTGAGAAAGCATCGTTTCTTTACAATCCATCATAGAGTATTCAATTATTTTAGTCTACTTATTTGGTTAGGCAGAGAATAATGAAAATTCTGAATCCAAAGAGAGTATACATCCTCTGGCACTCCTTGCCAATAGGCTACGATTGGTTGTGGAGAAAGAAATTACTGTATTCTTCCCGGTTTTACGTCAATTATGTCCTGATTCTGGGATAATTGCAGCCATGCTATTGCACCAATATTATGGAGAAAAACTGGTTTGTTTCGTTAGTTCCTTTTGTGAAATTTTTGTTTTGCCAGTGCTGGTTTTCCTCTATTTCATTTTTTTTATATTCTGGATGTTGTTCTCATCAAAACCCAGAAGCCATTCTTAAAGGAAGTATCGAAGCTTTCAGATGATGTAAGGTCGGTGCTTCCAGCTGCCTATTCCTTAGATCGTGACCTAACTCATTTATTTACTGCTGCTTCCAAAGAAAGTAGATTAAGCCCTCTTCTCAAGGAAGACCTTGAGCACTATCCGGTCAGCCAATCTTTTCCCTTATACAATATCACATATGGATGTATAATGCTTGTATTTGAATTTTATATTCTGTATGCTTGTGGTTGTTTTGAACTCCAAGAGACACTAAAAGTTGAGTAGTATAAACAACTAAAATTTGAGAGAATCAAAATAATCTATTCCATTCACCAAAAAGATAAATATATACAAATGCACAAGGTTAACCTAAGCAAGAGAAGGTAAAGAGACAATAAAGAACCATAGAACTAGTATATTTACAAAATTATAATTATTCCAATATAAAGACTTTATTTAGCACTCCTTCTCAAGTTGGAACTTATATATTCATTATGCCCAACTTGTTAGAGATAATCTATATTCATGCTCCATTGGTTTGGTTTTATCTTTTCACGTACAAAATGACAATTGACCTCAATATGTTTAGTTTGCTCATGAAACATCTTGAGCAAACTAAACATACTAACACACCACAATTTGGTCGACGTTGTGATATCAAATCTCAATCCAATAAGAAGTTGACGTATCCAAACTAAATTCACATACAGAATATGTCATTGCTCTATACTCTGATTCAACACTTGAACGTGATGCTACTGTTGTTTCTTACTCTTCCAAGAAACTAAATTATCTACAAATACAGAATATCTTGAAGTTGGTCTTTTTATCTTCCTTAGACCTTGCCTAATCATCATACGAGAAGCATTCAATGTTAGAATGGCCATAATTTTATATAAAAAATCAGGCCCAGGAACTGCTTGCAAATAACATAAAATCTACTCCAATGCAGGCCAATGATCAACTGTAGAGAATATATATACTGGCTTATGGTACTCACCGAATAAGCTATGTCTGGTTGAATCACTGCAAGATAATTGATTTTTTCCATTAGCCTCTTTCCATATTTTTTTAATAATTCTTCCTATTTTGTGAGCTGGAAATTGAGCACCATTTGAGTACTACTTAGCTTAGCCCTTAGCTTTCCTACTTTAGCAAACAAGTCAAGTACATATTTTCTCTGTGATAACAAAATTCCCTTCTTGCTTCTTATTACCTATAAAGTATTTCAACATTTCCAATATGGTTTAGCCCTAACTTCCTATTTCAGCCAATAACTCAAGTAGAAGTACATATTTTCTCTGTGATAACATATTTCCCTTCTTGCTTCTCATTACCTCAATTCCATTACCTCAATTCTTAGAAAGTATTTCAACATTCCCAAATCTTTTGTATGGAATTGACTATGCAAAAAGGTGTTGAGCGGTTGAATGGCTAAAGTGTCATCACCACTAATAACAATATCATTAAGATACACGATCAACATGATGATCTCACTCTCTGATTATTTATAAAAGACAAAATGATCGGACTTTCTTTTCCTCATTCCAAAGTTTTCAATCATCTGCTTGAATTTTTTCAAACTATGCTTGTGGACTTTTCTTTATCCAAATGAGAATGGAAGGATGCTATGAGAGAAGAAATGCATGCTTTAGAAAAGTGTAACACATGGAAGTTGTTGATTGGCCAAAAAGAAAAAATATAGTTGGGTGTACGTGGCTTTTTACAGTAAAGTATAAGGCTGATGGAACGTTGGAAAGGTATAAGGCAAGATTAGTAGCTAAGGGGATACACTTGACCTTACTCTATAGACTACCATGAGACATTTGCCCTAGTTACAAAGATGAGCATTCCTCTAGGATTTGAAAGATCAAGAGGTAAAGTATACAAACTGAGAAAGAATTTGTATGGATTGAAACAATCACCAAGGATGTGGTTTGGAAGATTGTGGTATTGTTAAAGTCAAGGAGATCGCACTTTCTTTATCAAGGGGAGTTACTGTGCTTCTAGTGTATGTAGATGAAATTATAGTTCCTGAAGATAATGAAGAAGAAAAAATTGAACTTATAAGGAAATTGATGAAAGAATTTGAGATCAAAGAACTTGGAAAGTACTCTCTTGGTATTGAAGTAGCATACTCAGTTGAGGTTTATTTTTATTTTTTTTTATTATTATTATTATCAGAACAGGATTTATTGATGGAAAGATGGAAAATGGATGTGAACATCTACCAACACCAAAGGATCCACCTCAGAAACTGGCAGAGTAAAAAAAGGAACCTGCAGTGAACCGTGAAATTTGCCAGAGGCTAGTGGGGAGGCTTATATTTCTAGCTCACACTCGACTGGACATAGCATACTCGGTGAGTATAATTAGCCAATTTATGCCTGATCCACAAGAGCCTCACCTTCAAGCAGCGTACAGAGTGTTAAGTTACCTGAAAGGAACTTCAGGAAAAGAAATTTTGTTCCAACGACACAATTCCCATGCATTGGATCAATAGTGAAGATAAGATCTACTACGGGAATTGTACTTTTCTTGGAGGTAATTTGGTATTATGAAGGAGTAAAAAACAAAATGTGGTGGCTAGATCATCTGTCGCATCAGAAGTCCAAGCTATTGCACAAGAGCTATGTGAACTCTTATGGTTGAAAACAATCCTTGATGGCTTACACATTAAAGGAAAAGGTCCGATAAAGATGTACTGCGATAACAAATCAGCTATCGATATTGCACATAATCCTATCCAGCATGATAAGATAAAGTATATTGAAATTGATTGACATTTTATCAAAGTGAAACTAGAGAAGGGGATGATATGAATTAGTTATGTGCCCTCACACCTTCTACTAGTAGATATACTATCAAAATATAATTTCACAACTCAATGTTTCATGAGTTAGTATCTATTCCTCAGCTTGAGAGGGAGTGTTGAAGGAATAACCTATATTCAAGGAGTACTTGTGTAATTCCTAGCCTGAACCTAAGAGATATTTGTGTAATCCCATTAAATAAGGGAAGTAGTTGAACTCCCTAATTTATCTATATTGTTACCTAGAGATTTATTTAGATTTATTGTCACATACTATCTAGGGATTTATTTATCTTTTCTACAATAGGGGCATGCACTTTCATAAAGATAATTTAGACTTCCAACACTATCAAAAATAAAAAACTTAACTCAACCAAACCCAGCAAACCAAGGAGCCAAAGAATAACAACAATACTTAGTTCACGAGGATTCTTAAGTAGTTGTCTTTAGTATCTTTAACTTCTGAAATCATATAATTTAACCCGAGGCTTTGAAAATGTTCCAAAAGAATTCTCTCTCTTCTCCTTTGCCTCCCTTCCCCTCTGTTGCACTTGTCTAACCATGTCGTCCATTCTATGCCTCTCTCCACTCGTATGAGTGCGCCCAAAAGCGTACATTCTCTCCCCCAGAGATTTGAATGCAAGGGAAGGTGGTGGGAATCTTTTTCATTCCAATGTGAAAATTGAACAATGTGAGGACAGCAGGGTGGCAAATATAAGGGACAATTGGCTGGAGCCTTTTTTGCTAGCTGACTGTTCCTCTCTCTGAATATTTTACTACAGCTCATTATTTTTTTTCTTTTCGTAATCTTAATTTCTTTTAATTGTACAATATTTAATTTCCTTGTAAAATATTTTATATTGCCTATTTCCTCTCGTAAGTTCTTAATAGGTTTGTATATATTAGGTTGTAATCTTCTCATTTTGAGATTTGAAATTGTTTGGGTTATTCATTTCTTCATTAACGGCAGTGTTAAATCCATATTTAGTGTTGTATGTACTTGTAATATCAAGACATGTAAGCTGTTTGTTTCTTTCCTCCGTCTTTTGGGCAGATTGTACAAATTGCTAAGCCCATAATTCTTGACTGGATGATCGATCAACTGGAACAAACCTCTGAATGGACTGGACGTGCTTTCAAGTTAGAGGTTAGTTATTTGCAGACTGATTTTTCTGGTTCAATATGTAATATGATATTTGTCTGAGTGGAAGCAGTAGCTAGTTTATTTTAAGGAAAGATGTATCAGATAGGAAGTCAAGGATCAAGTGAAGGGTGAAAATATGATCTTGATAAAATTGCTGTTATTTATCTTTCTTGTACAGTAATCATTAAAGGAATGAAACTGTAGAAGCCATGGTAAAAAAGTATGTAGGTTGACATAGCCTGAACAACTGAAACTTAGAGAGATTGAAAAAAACACATTAGATATATCTTTTCTTTCCATTGCATGTGTAGATTGATCAACACCTCTTACTAATTTTGGGTTTTTTTTGGCAAGTGAAGGATTGGGAACCAATATCGTTTCAGCAAAATCTGGCAGCATCAGTTATTGAAGTTTTTAGAATTATTGAGGAGGTATTTATCATTGTAAAGACAATTACTTCAGTTATGTCTGAAAGACGAGAAATTTTGGTTTGCTCCTATGAATTCTAATGATACTTTCCTACCAAAGTTTCTGAGGTTGGGGAGTGAAAGAATATTTATAGAGTCGCTGTTAAATATACTGATTGATAACTTTTGAGCACTTGGGGTTATGTTCTACCGATGTCATAGGTATTAGTGGGTCATTCTTGTTGGTTTCTCCTGCATTTTTTTTTTCCCCAAATAATCAATACCATATGCAACCAGTGGAAGTAGTAGCAGTGTGTAAAATTGTCTTGTAGCTACATTTTTTCTGTTTCCTTTTAAATTTACTATCGAGGGCTAGTTTCATAAATTTTTGTTTACTATTATGGACTTGTAATGAAAAACTTGCAGACTGTTGACCAGTATTTTGACCTGAACCTTCCGATGGACATCACACATTTGCAAGCTCTCCTGTCCATTGTCTATCACAGCTTGGATGGCTATCTATCGGGTCTTCTCAACCAGTTAGGTAATTTATGAATTTTGGAATTTACGAAGAATGAAGATTGATGGCAAGTTGCAAAAAATTCAGACAAATGTACACACACACACATAAAAGGAAAAGCAAAACAACCTAAGGACAAAGGGATTAGGCATCCCTTTTCCACAAGGAATGATGGTGTGTAAGTGGAGTAGTTACAAATCACAAAAGTAATCAAAGGAAATATTCTTATCTGAAAAAACTCTTGAATTCCCTTCCATCCATGTCAACCGTAGAATAGCCTCGAATGGTACATGTTTGGATTTATTAATTTACTCTTGAAATGATCATTCTATTGGAGATTTGATCATATCATTTTTCCATTGCAGTTGAGAAGAATTATTTGTATCCACCTGTTCCTCCATTGACTCGTTTTATGGAGACAGTTGCAACAGGAAAGAAAAAGTTGCCCGAATGTCATTTAGACGAGCATGTGAGCAGCAAATTGAATGGATTGACGATATCTAAGCTTTGTATAAAATTGAATACCCTTGGTGTAAGTGATGCTTCAAGTAAAAGCTTTTTTTTTTTTACTTTTTTTTTTTTCACTAAATATGCATATGCATGTTTGAAGTCATGTGAGATAATTCTTCTGTAGTAAATGCAATACTTATAATATTTTGAGCGTGGTCTTTGTCATGTATGATCAGTTAATGACAATACAAAATCAGGGGGAAGGGCAGTTCCCCCTAAATCTTTTACGTGATCATAGTTAACATGCCATTCTTAGTGACGCCGTCAATTGGTAGTTTTATTTTGTGTTACCTCTCTTTTCTCTTCATGCAGTACATTCAAAAACAAATTGAAACACTGGAGGATAGAATTGGAAAATCTTGGGCGCTTATTGGAGGATCTGCTAAGCATAAACGCGGTACACATATATTTATTTCACTTGATATTACCATTCAATATACATAACATTAATGATAACTAAAAGACAGAAACTAGTGGTCTGTCTTCACTTTGCATAATGACAATAAAAACCATATGCGGAAGAGGATTGAATTAGTTGACATCAGTATTTTTATTGCTAAAGTATTAACAAGTCCACACGGCATATGACAAAATGTTGCATTCTCATTCCTTTCTCGTGTTTGTTTATCTGGCTTGTGGAATTATAATACTTTGTGACCACTTCTTAAAGCTCGGTTCAGGTTTAAGTTTTCTTATTTCAAATTTTCTTTAATATTCTTAATCACTAAAATAAAAAACAGATTGATGTGCTTATTCGTTCTGTATATTAAAAAATTTGTGGAGGAAGTGTGTGGAAGTCCAAGTTCCTCAAATTACGTGGTTATCATGTAGCTCTTTTATCTATCACATCGCTATATATTTTGGTTCTATCAGAGTCTCTATAGAGAGGGATGAATATGTTGTTTATTCCTTCTTGGTGGTTATTAAAACTTTAGACAAAAGCACACTTTTCGTCCTTAATATTAGAGTTTAGTTGACCATGAAAATATCATGTGCTATGTTGAGGTGGCAAATTTTAAATGAGGTGCCTATTTTCTCTAATTTATATTATTTTTTTATTACCTTACTTTTTCATGTTTTTCCCTCTCTCCCCTCCTCAAATCTAGTCTGGTCTAATTTGCTAAGAGAGGGAAAGAGGAAAAGAGGATGCAGTATGCAAATGGAGGAAACCAGTCACCGAACTCGGACAACTTCTAATTATTTTGAACCCTAAATTTCTTAGAAAATTAGACCAGACTAGATTTGAGGAAGGATTAAAGACTTCTCGCAACATCTAGACACGTTTCTCTAATTGAAGTAATTTGATTTGCTATGCCTATGATAAATTTTGAACGGTTGTTTTCAAAGTTTTGGCCATGGTAATTTTCCAACAGATAGCCCGATCTAATTAATTTCATTCAACCCCAAAATGATTGCTTTCATCACTGTATATTTGATGTTAATACCTATAGTATCATCCATTCAGCCCCGGAAGAGGCGACTGTCAATGGTGGTCTTCGTACCTGTAGTGACGAAGTTAATGAGTTGTTTGCCAACACTTTCAACAACATTAAGAGTTTCATTGCAAAGGCTATCAGCAAGTTTTGTGACATTACTGGTGAGTTTCTCAACCAATTTTGTGGTGGCCTTTAAATTTATGTAGTTATTAAGTTAAGCTAGATTGATTTTAGGTTATGCTTTAAAATATATTTGTTGAGCCTAAGTACGGTGCATTTTCTGGTCTCCGTATTCTCAATTAAGTATGGCCTCAAATAAGAGGGAAACTGGGGAGAACATAACCATTTTATTGTCGACCCTAAGTATGGTCTCCATATTCTCAATTATGTCCTCAAATAAGAGGGGAACTGGGAAGGACAACCAATTTTTTAGTCAAGTTCTTTTACACTTCTATTTTTGGTTTTTGTTAAACTGTTTTGCAAGATGACTGTAGAATGCTTACATAAAAAATCATATTTGTAACAACTTTTCCATCTCTGAATAATAGTCTTAATTTTGTTCAAATTCTACTCTCCAGGCATAAGAGTTATTTTTTGGGATCTCAGAGATGAGTTCCTCTCGTATTTGTATCATGGCAATGTTGATGCTGTTCGATTAGAAGACGTTCTTGCGCATCTTGATACGGTAAGATCTTTGACTCGCTAAATGTGATATTGTGCAAATTTTGTCTGTAATGTCTTTTATGTGCGTCATGCTTGCATATGTATAGTATATTTCTTTATACATTTTATCTATGGGTTGCACCCATCTAAGTCATCTATTATATTATAGGTCCTAAACAATGTATGTGGCAGGATCGATGATACTCTTAGGGATCTCGTGGTATTGAGCATCTGTCGAGCATCAATGGTACGATCATTTAAGAATGCTACTTCTATCTCCTACCTTTTGCTCCTTCCATCTGAAATGCATGGTTTTCCAGGAAGCCTTCATATGGGTGATGCTTAATGGAGGTCCTTCACGTGCATTTTCTGATTCAGATATTGTTCTCATTAAGGAAGATCTCGGTATATTGAAGGTATGTGCTCTAGATTGAAATTACTTTTACAGTTGTAGTTTATGATAGGTAGGATTCCTGCAAAAAAAAAAAAAAAAAAAAAAAAAAAAAAAAAAAAAAAAAAAAAAA